CCCTGGCTGCCTGCCTCTGCCTCGTCGCCCGGCGGGCTCCCTCCACCAGCATCTACCTGGAGGCCAAGGTAGGGCCACAAGCCCCGATGCCCGGGTGCCCGTGGGGACCTTCGGGCAGGGGTCTTCAGGGTACAGGGGCAGCCGGGAGCCTCCCTTCCCTGAGGGTCCTCTGTCGTCCTCTGTGCCAGGGGACCAGTGTGTGCCAGGCGGCCGCCATGGGTGGTGCCATGGTCCTGCTGTATGCCAGCCGGGCCTGCTACAACCTGGCCGCCCTGGCCTTGGCCCCCCAGAGCCGGCTGGACACCTTCGATTACGACTGGTACAACGTATCCGACCAGGTGGGTGCTTGGTACGTCTGTCACCACCTTAGCAGCCGTGGCGCCCGGCTCCTTGCTGGCCTGGGCCCTGGCACAAACCCTTGCCTTCCCACAGGCAGACCTGGTCAACGACCTGGGGAACAAAGGCTACCTGGTGTTCGGTCTCATCCTCTTCGTGTGGGAGCTGCTGCCCACCACCCTGCTGGTGGGCTTCTTCCGGGTGCACCGGCCCCCACAGGACCTGGTGAGGGCCCCCCTTCTCTGCAGGGGTGGGGGGTGGGCACCGGGAATCCAGGGCTGGGGTCTGGGCAAGCAGCGGGAGGCCAGCGTGGGGCTGGGAGAAGGCATCGCCAGCGGCTTCCTCTTCCCAGAGCCCCAGCCGCATCCTGAGCGGGCAGGTGTTTGGCTCCCGATCCTACTTCTTCGACCGGGCCGGGCACTGTGAGGACGAGGGCTGCTCCTGGGAGCACAGCCGGGGCGAGAGCACCAGGTAGGAGCCTGGCCGCCCCCGGCTTCCTCACGCCACAGGGCACCCAGAGCCTGGTCTTGCCTTCCTGTCCTGCCGTGGCCTTCGTTTCCCCATCGGTGCTGGGTGAGGTCCCCTCCGGGTTGCTGAAGCCCCACCCCTTGCCGGGACATGCTCTTGCTTCTGGGCCCAGGCGTCTGGGTGCTGGGGCCTCTGTTCCAAGCCTCGTTTGCTTCCCGTTTCCCGTGACTGTGTCCCAGGTCACCACCCTGGGCCTGACCCTGTGTCTCTGCCTGCAGCATGTCGGGCAGC